AGTGTTGGGGGATACAGGGCTAGGGACAGGATGGAGCCTGTACTTGTCTTGGGGACAAATTATCTTGCTGGCTCACATCCCAATAAGTCTGAAAAAAAAAATATATATATGGATGAATAAGATAGAGGCAGTCAAATGTGAACGACTGGTGAATCCAGGTGACTGGCCATATGCCACTTTGTTTTATTATTTCTTCATAATTTCTGTAAGTAAAATAACTTTACAAGACAATGGAAAAATGGACATGCAACAGACTGAATTTTTATATTCTCTCAAAATTCGTAAGTTGAGATCATCACCCCAGAGGTGATAGATGGTATAAAGAATTGGGCCTTTGGAGATAATTAGGTCATAAGAGTGGGCCTTTCTGAAGATGAAAGCCCTTATAAAAAGGGCCCTAGAGAACTCCCATACCCTTTCCACTGTATGAAGACACATCTATGTGCCAGAGAGCAAGCCTCACCAGACACCAAATGTGCCATCCCTTCATCTTGGATTTCTAGCTTCCAGAACTGTGAAATGAATGTCTGTGGTTTAGAAGCCACCCAGTTTATGGTGTTGTGTTATCTCAGCTCACAAGAGCCAAGACACCATATATAGAGTCAGTTTTATGGGAGGTGGCCTCTGTGCCCATCTTGGAGGCAGCAGGAGCAAGTCTTTTTGGCTGCTGTGGACAGTGTATCTGCTGTGGTTAGGTCAGGAGATGGAGGCTAGAAGCGAGGGCAGAGCTAAGTGATGACATGGGGGGCTTTGGGGAAGGGCTGTGAGTTATGAGAGATGGGAGTGGGAGATGGGTACAATGGGGAACTGGGAGTGATCCAGGCCATGCATGGTAAAGGACCAGCCCAGGTGAAGAGGAAAACCTTAACCTCACAGCCATGGACATGTGTCATGAACCACTTGAAGCTTTTGGCTGCCCATAGCAAGCACAGGGCTTAGGGGAAATCTGGAGTTCACTCCTGTATACATAAAATTCAAGTACCAGACATGCCAACAGGAGTCTGGAATTGAGGGAACTGCATATGCTAGAGAGCTCAACATGAAGTCAGTAGCATATGGGTAGCATGGAAAGTTACACCACCAGATGCAATTTGTGGGAGAGTGAGAGGAGACCGAGCACTCACACTAAGAGGTCACCAAGGGATCCTAAGGAGCAGCTTATGAGGTAGGAGAAAAACCTCCTGGAAGCTGAGGAAGGCACTGTGCTGAGGCAGAACAACAAGCCATGTCAAGGATGGCGGAATGGTCCGTGAGAAAGAACTGATGAATTTTAGCAATATGGAGGTCTTTGATGATAGCTTTGAGTTCCCTCTGCTACATAACAAATCACCCCAAAATGTAATGGCTAGAAATAACACCTTATGGGGGTAGCAAGTGGCATAGTGGTTGAGATGCTGAACTTCCAATGTGGCCAAATGTAGTTCAAGTCCTGGACCTGGTGACTTATTTTCTCACTTCTCCTCTCTCTCTCTCTCTCTAGTGAGTGTGCGTGCCCTATAGCAAATTAAATTAAATTATTCTTAAAAAAAATAAATGAACACTTTATTTGATGTGAGTCAAGAGCTTAAGTTAGGCACAGCTGGGTTGTTCGCTTACACTGGGATCCCATGTAAACAAAGGTAGCTTCACTGACTACTCCAGCTATAAGCTGCTTTGAGAAGGCTCTGCCAACTAGACCAGAGTTTGATGAGAGAGCAACTCAGAGCCCAGGTCTCCTTGTCGAGGCAAGGCCATCTGTGGCAGTTTTTTTTTTTTTTTTTTTTTTTTTTTTAAGTCACTGCCTTGGCTTTGGCAGGAGTTTCCTTGGGCAAGAGGGTATGTGTACAAGAGGGAATGGGAGGCAAAAAATCAGAGACAGCTCCCAGGCTCTCCAAAAGACTTTCCCAGTAAAGGAGAGCAAAAGCTGGGAATAGAAGTTGACGGGGGAGTCAGGGCTCAAAAACTAGACTTATGTTGTTGTCTCCCCAATATTCACAGGCTGAAGTCCTGTTTTAGTCCATTTGAGTTGCTATAACAACATACCATAGGCTGGCTGGCTTTTATTCTTTTTTCTAAAACTATTTACTTATTATTATATTATTATTATTTTAACTTGACCAAAGAGATAGAGAGACAAGGAGCTGGCAGGTGGCATGGTGGCTGGGGGCACTGGACTCCCACATGGCAGACCGCTGTTCGAGTGCCTGGACCTGGTGGCTTGCTTTCTCACTTTCTCTCTCTCTCTCTGGTCAAATTAAAAAAATTTTAAAAAATATTAAAAAAAAAAAAAAGAGGTAAGAGACACAGAAATGAGAAAGCAAGCCGCCGGGTTTGCGATTTGAACAGTGGTTGATCATATGGGAGTTCAACACCTTAACCACTATGCCACTGACCAGCCCCCTGGCTGGCTTTTAAACAGAAATTCCTTTTTCACAGTAGTGAAGGCTGGAAGTGTGAGGTCAGTGTGTCCACATGGTTGAGTTCTGGTGAGGGCCCTCATTTTTTTTTTTTTTTTAAATTTTTAAAGGACCATTTTATTTAACTTTATTTATTTATTTATTTAAATTTGACCAGAGAGAGAGAGAGAAAGTGAGAAAGCAAGCCACCAGGTCCAGGACTCAAATTGAAGTCAGTCATGTGGGAGTCCAGTGCCCTTAACCACCATGCTACCTGCTGGTCCTCGGTGAGAGCCCTCTTAAGGGTTATAGATATTGAGCTTCTTGCTGTAGCTTCACATGGTGAGAAGAAGGTGAGGAGTTTCTGGTGTTTTATTTATTTATTTATTATTATTATTTTTAATAAGGAAACTCATCCCATTCATATGGGCTCCACAATCATGACCTAATCATCCCCAAAGGTCCCATCAATTTTTTTTCTTTTTTGAGAGAGATTTTTGTTACGGGGTGCATGCACTCACCAGACAGATAAGAGAAACAGAGAGACAGAGAGTGAGAAATCACCCCAGGGGGTATGACCATGCCACAATCCCTTCTCCTCCATTCTCCTCTTGGGATCTTGGGCACTCTCACACACACACGTGCACAGTGAGTTTTAAGCTGCCAGGTCTGGGACTTGAACCACGGTCAATCACATGAGAATCTAGCAACGTAATTATTATGTCATCTGCTGGTCCCAGTCCCACCTCCTAAACCATCATCTTGGGGGAAATAATTTAAACTAATATATTTGAGGCACACAGATACTTACTGACCATAAACCCCAATGTAAGTGACTATATTTGGAGATGGCGCCTTTCAAGGAGGTAATGAAGGATAAGTGAGGTCATAATAGTGGAGCCCTAATCCAATACGACTGGTGTCCTTATAAGAAGAGGAAGACATATCAGAAATGAGAAGATAGGACCAGCAGGTGGAATGGTGGTTAAAGCCCTGGACTCCCACATAGCCAACCACAGTTTGAATCCCAGACCTGGCAGCTTGAAAATCACACCAGTCGCATGTGCATGTGTGCCCAAAATCCCAACAGGAGAATGGAAGAGAGCTGACTGTGGTATGGTCATACCCCTCAGGGGGGTGATTTTTTACTTTTCTTCTGTCTCTATATCTCTCCAGTGAGCACACATGACTTATGGAAAAAAAAAAAAAAAAAAAAAAAAAAGAGGATGGCTATCAACAAGCCAAGGAGAGAGGCCTCACCAGAAACTAACAAAGCCAATACATTGATCTTGTCCAGCCTCCAGAAATGTGAGAACAATTTTCTGTTTAAACCACCCAGTTTGCATGCAGTATTTGGTTACAGCATTCCCAACAAACTAAGGATCTTAGGAAGACAATAATGGAAGTTCCTCAAAAAGTCACACAGAATTAGTGTATGATTCAGTAATTCCACTTCTGGATCCATACACAAAGTAACTGAAATCAGGGTCTCAAAGAGATATCTGCACACTCAAGTTCATAGCAGCATTATTCACAATAGCTAAAATTCAGAAGCAATCCAAGTGTCGGTTGACAGATGGATATACAAAATGTGATCTATCTATACAATGGAATACCATTCAGCCCTAAATAGGAAGGACATTATGAATGAACCTGTAAGACATCATGGCATATGAACTAAGTCAGTCACAAGAGACAAATACTGTATGAGGATCCCACTTACATGAAGTCCCTAGAGAAGCCAAATTCAGAGAGACATAAAGTAGAATGGTGGTCAACAAGGGCTGCAGGAAGAGAAATGGGGTTATTCTCTAATTGGAAAAATGTTTTAGTTAAGGAAGATGAAAAAGTTCTGTAGATTGATGGTGGTGATGGTTTTACAACAATGTGAATGTACTTAATGTCTATGAATTAAACACTGAAAAATGGTTAAGATAGTACACTTAATATTATGGATAAGAACCTAATTAAAAACAAATTAAATGATTAAGACAGTGAGTTTTTTTTCTTTAAAGTTCATTCATTTATTCATTCCTTCATTTTAATTTGACCAGAGAGAGAGAGAAGAAAGTGAGAGAGCAAGCCACCACCAGGTCCAGGACTTGAACCATGGTCAGCCATGTGGGAGTGTCCAGCACCTTAACCACCACGCCACCTGATGGTCCCAAATAAGTGAGTTTTTTACTTAACTCTTACTTTATCACAACAAAAACATACAGAGCTTTGAATTGAGTCAAATATGTAAAACTTATTCGTTTGGCAGGGACTGGGTTATCTGTTCTGAAAGGCACGTGGTGCACGCTGATGGACAAGCCAAAGTCCCGCCTCCTCCTGCAAGCCCCGCTCGCCCCGCCCTCCCCGCAATACGCCCCGACACACGCACACTTCCCGTTCCTGTCAGCCCGTGTGGCTGCGCACGCTCCACCCGCCCCTATCGCCG